TGCTTAGCGATCAAGGCGGTGGTGCCAACAGTGCTCTGAGCGTCGGTGATATTGAGATCGATCTACTCCAATTGGACTTTGTGTACACTACCTATCGCATGGAACCCAATCTCACCGATCGTGTACGCCTTCCCAAACAACTCTATTTCCACACGTGGTGCCCTCGTCTCATACAAAAGAGCATTTCAGATGATGCTGGTACACTGGAACTGCTTCACAATGCGGACATTCCACGCAGGATGATCCTGTTCTTCACAGATTTGACTCATGGTACACAGCCAGCATTGGCTGGAGGTCAAGCATCGCATTCTTCGAACAGACTGGCCATGATTCATGCAAATCTCAGTCAACTTCGTGTCACTGTCAACGACCAGATGCTCTTTGACAACCCGCTCAAGTTCCAGTGGGATGTGAGTCGTAATACTGAAGGGCAATACTTCTACGATTACAACAAATCCTCCTACCTGCGTGGCTACAATCTGGTTCAAGACTTTTTCGGCAAGACGTATGGAACGCAAATCCCCATCACCGCTGCAGATTACTGCAATCACTACTTTATGGTGCCTATCAACTTGAATCTGGATCGGACCACAGACAATCCAAGATCGAGAGGAAATCTGTCCATCGACTATCAATTTAGCGACGTGACAAACGCCCCCGTGAGGAGACCTAGCGAAAATGGTGCCTCGATCAAAGTCAACCTTCTCTGCATGGACAAGTACTTGTACACCATGAGCAAAGATGAAGGTATCAAAGCCGAAGTTGTATGAATTAATTCCGACCTAGTAGTAAAAGGGCATCATGGAAGGTGGTGACCTGGAGACCAGACATCGTGTCTACGGTGGTGATTTGAAAACATCGAGTCGACAACACGGTGGATTCTTCTGGAAAAAGAGCTTCTGGAAAAACCTAATCGGTGCTGGACCGGATGAGATGGAAAAGCAGATGGCGGAACCCACGACAAAACAAGATGCAATGCAACGCGGTGGACTTGGACCCCTGGCTGCCATGGCAGGAATGACACTTCTTCCCATGCTTTTGGGGAGAGGAGAGTCCGGAGACATTGTGGAAACGCAAATGAAAACAGCTTACAACCCTGCCATGCACCGAGGAGGTCTAGCCATTCCACCAGGATTAGCCGCCAAGGCCATACCACTCCTGACGAACCTGGCTGCTCCCTTGGCCATGGGTACCATGGCATCACTGGGTGACAACGTAATGGATAAAATATTCGGCAGAGGAGTAAGGAAGGGAAGCTCAGCAGGTGCCATGAAGCGCACTAAAAGTCGTCGTCGTCGGCATGCACCGAAGAAGATTCGGCAACGAGCATCTCGAAAAACCAAGAAACCAGCTCGTCAAGTTCGCTCCAAAGGCCGCAGGGCACGAGGAATAAAGAAACAAGGAAGGGCCTTGTTCAAAAAACTAGGACATCGTGCCCTCGACGAAGCTTCATCGTTCCTGTCTGCACCTCGTAGATCCCTAACCCGTCCTGAAACTCCATTTGCTCAAAAAATTCGACAGAACATTAACAGTGCAGGACCGTCTTCTATGAGTTCCGCTCACATCGGTCCATCCTACAACATCTGATCATGGACTTTATCTCGCTCCTTGGACAGGAAATCGGGAGGAAGAAAAAGACTAGTCCCGTAAGGAACGACGATGTTCCGACCACGGCCACTGCTCGACACGGGCTGCACATTCCTGGTCTTCAGTTCGAGTCTAAGGATTGGTTCACGGAAATCATTCCTGCTCTGAAATCCTGGGGTCAAAACGTATTGTTTCTGGGACAGAGCAACATGGGTAAATCCTACTTTCTCATCAAGCTCCTGAAACGTGTGCAACCTGAGCGTATAGTTGTCATCTCCAACACGCCGGCCGATCAGTATCGTCTCCCAAGCCTCAAATCCTTCAAGCATTACAGCACCATGCCCGAGTGTATCGAAGACATGGATCTCCAGCCTAACACCTATGTGATCATTGATGACATCAGAGTGATGGGTTTGAAGCACGGCAGCCAAAGAGAGTGTCTCTACAAGTTCTTCACCATGTACAGTCATCATCATAAGTTGAACGTGTTCTTTCTCTCTCAGAGCTTTGATAACATTAAGGACATGAAGATCAATGCAAACTTTATGTATCTATTTCGCTTCACTGATAAAAGCAATATCAAGCGTTATCTCAATACTCTGTTTGGTGGTGTGTGCACGAAGTCATCCATTATCTTTAGATTGTATGAGAAGTTATTGGCGGTGTGTCGCAGACCTATCCTAACCATTGATTGCTCTTCTAATCAGTACTACACGTATTGCGAAGACACTGCATTAAAGGTGACTTTTGAATAAAAACCTCGTTGATGTGCGTGTTTAGCCGAAAAGTTAGCCGAAAAGTTAGCCGAAAAGTTAGCCGAAAAGTTAGCCGAAAAGTTAGCCGAAAAGTTAGCCGAAACATTGAAAAAAAATTCCAATCATGAATAAGAATGGAGCATCTTACGGTGAAATTCTCAAATGGGCTACCGAGCAGTATACAGAGGGTGGGGTCCAGAAAGGGATCCTTCTCGATACCCAAGCGTAAAAGGTTGCAAACCTTGCAGTTTATGTCGAAACATCCTCAACACATCCTCAAGAAGAGAGTAAATTCGTGGGAAGTTCTCGGTATACCACCACTCATGCGGCAAAAAGGAGGTAATAACTACAATACCTACTTGAAAAGCGTCAAGAAAGTTCTTTCCCAAGTGCCAGATCACAGTTTGAGCACCTCCACCCTGTTGGAACTGCAAGCTGATCCGCGAGTAAAGCGTCTATATGACACCCACTTCAAAAACAATCCCGATCACATCAGTTACCCGTCTGTGAGAAATGTGATTGCATCCAACATACTCAACTATGATTCCACTACCGATCAAGTTCGCGATTCCGTTGCAGATGTCAGGAAGAAGAGAAAGGCACCTTTAACATCAGTGCCTTTCAATCTATTACAAGACCACGAATTTGACCGATGGATCCTACAAATCCTGGACAGTTTCCTCCGACATACAAATATACCGGCAACCTTTTTGAAGAGCAACTACTTCACAAGCCGATCACAACTGCTGCAACTCTACGATGAAGATCGACTGAGGTTCAGGAGTCGGGTGGAAGCGGCTGCGGATGCCCTGAAGACGCAGACGATGAACGACTACACTACTCTGGTCAACGAGACGAATCGCATCTACATGTCCAGGTACCCATTTGCAACCATAGCGGGTGCGGTGGGAATCCACAAACATGTCGATGGATTCCTTCGATCAGAACGAAAGATTCATGAACTAGCCACCCTAGTGCTAGCTGTACCAGGATCGCAGCTCAAGTTTCAAGATCTCAACGATATGACTTCTACGTATGGTAGAACAACTGAAGCAAAATTGATCCATCCCGAGCATTTCATGATCAGAGCACAAAAGGTGATGGTGGACGATGCATCATTCATTCAAGAGGTTCTGAAGGATAAAAGCAGGATCACTCGTATCATCAAGGATATCCTGAGTGGACGTTCAATGTGATCACGTGCGCGAAAATTTTCAGGCTATGATCAAGAATGGACTACCCTCTCAGCAGTGCCGACATCAAAGGAAGATTGAATGGTGTTGGAGGGTTCGTGGGGTGTACAAGTTACGACCTCTTACCACCCTTGAACAATGGAGACTTTTGTATCGTCAACACCGACAACGTTCTACCGGTGTACGATGCACCGGAAGGTGGACATCATTGGTTGACCGTGTGTCGCGAGCAAAACGTGATCCTGGTTTTTGACAGTTTCGGACGCAGTCTATACACTATGGAGCAAGATTACACTGAACCTGCACTGTGCGATTTCTTTAAAGAAGCCTATGCAGACTGTAAGATCATCACCAACACCCAAGCCGTTCAAGACAGAAGCACAGCAGTATGTGGATGGTATGCCATATTGATGGGAAAGCTATTTTCCAAATATGGTCTGGATGAAGCACTTCGAACTTTCCGAAGAGTCTTCGATGAGGATGAAAAGCTGGAAAACGATCAACTGGTTCTCAGTTTAGGTGTCTTGCGAGGTGGTGGAGCCTTGTGGGATACGAAAGTGCAAAAAGCACTTCATGATGGAAGACAGAAGAAGAAGTCGCAGTCCACACCATTCCACACGCAACTGGCTAACGAATTGCACAAACCCAGACGAGTGCATTTCAAAAGACGCAAGGTGAAGAGCAGGTCTGTGGATCACATCTGGAGTGCCGATCTAGTGGATATGCAACGGTTTGCCCGAAGCAACAAGAACTACAAATTCCTGCTGACCGTCATCGATCTGTACAGTCGCTATGCCTGGGCAGTACCCCTGAAAACCAAAACTGGCTCTGCTGTCAGGGATGCATTCGACATGATCCTGAAAACATCGAACAGGGTACCACAAAAACTATGGGTAGACGAAGGCAAGGAGTTCTACAATGCAACAATGAAGCAATGGGTCAAGGATCACAACATCATCATGTACAGCACCCACAACGAAGGAAAAGCCGTGGTGGTGGAACGCTTCAATAGAACACTGAAAGGCAGAATGTGGCGCCATTTCACGGAGAAAGCTACGACACAGTATCTTGACGTCCTTCCTCAGCTTATGGTCAAGTACAACAGCTCGAAACATCGCAGTATCGGCATGAGTCCCACGAAAGCTTCTCTTGATGGAAAACCAAAAGATGCAGACGTACACTCGAAGCAATCACCAGCAAAATTCAAAGTGGGTGATGATGTGCGTTTGGCTGTAGCTAAACGTCATTTCGAGAAAGGGTACACGCCCAACTGGACAGAGGAAGTGTTCGTGGTAAACGATGTCCTACCCACTGTACCCCACACCTATCGTGTTCAAGACCTGATGGGAGAAGTCATTCAAGGACAGTTCTATGGAGCTGAGCTACAACATGCCAGACACACAGGATTGAGATTCGATAAGGTGTTGAAATACAACAAGAACAGTCGGCTCGTCAAATGGAGGGGTTATCAAGACGAAAAATTCCATACCTGGTTAACAAAGAAGGATGTGAATGATCTCAAAAAGTATTAGCATTTCATATGTACAATGTAGCTCATGCTTTGGATTAACGTGAATATTATGAATCGCATAGTATTTACAATGTATTTCATGAGAAGATATGACATATGCTCTAGTATGTGTGGAAATCCCTCAGTGCTTTGGAATATCCTTGTGTCCGAATGCCAGGGTGTTGATACCATCCTCCAGAATGTAACGCTTACTGTCGAATCCACTGAGGGCAATCTTGCGTAGCTCCTCTCCGTGAATGCAATGTCGTCGACTTCGAAGAACATTCATTGTTCTCTTCAGCTGAGACTCCTCGACGAGACATGTTCGATAATCATCGACGGTTATGGTGTTTTTCAACACGCTTCTCTGCACACCTTTGGCACGCTTGCCATTGTCGTCGTTGTCTTCACAGCGGTATGCGTACATCTTGCTCCGCAAACCAATGAACTCCTTGATGGGTTTGCCACCTAGTTCGTCCTTGAACTTCCCTACCACCTTCTTGTTGACCGTGCTGTACAGGTGGTGGGATGGTGAATAGTTGGATGTGTCATAGGCTGTTATGTTGTTTGACATATCGGTGTACAGATCATCCGTTTGAATATGTACGATCAGACTATCAGTATCAGTGTAGAGCAAACGTACATTTTGTCCATAGCGGGGTAGGAGAACTTCATAGTAAAAGGAATACATCAAGTGCTTCGACAGATCGAGGATGGCTGTACCCACATAAATGGGTTTATTGAGAGTCACCTTTGTCCTGGCAAACTCGATTGCTATCAGATCGTTCTCAAAGGCTACACTGCGGATGTACGAAGGTTTGTTGATGCTTTTCTGGAGACGTGGTTTTTCATCCTGTTCACGAATGAGCTTGATGTTTACTCTGTTTCGAACGTTTTCCATGGTCTTGCCATATACAGCATTGTTCATCAACTACGATAAACAGGCATACAAAGAAAAGACAAGAAAAACAACAATAAGAAAACTGTTATCTTCAGGTCATTCACACTTCCAGTACATACTAGATCCCACACTATCGCTAAATACACACACACACACACACATGATGTGGAGTACCCACCTTATAGAAGTCTTTCTCGAAATCAGAAGTTGATAGCTTTCTCAGGTCAGTATTAGTGTCGATGTATGGCTTCATCCATGGGTGTTGTGTGAAGGAGAGCACACGATGCACATCTGTAATCTCCACACCCAAGGACACATACTGCTGCAAGTTTCTGTAGTGCAGAACATAGTGCTCTTTCGGTAGTAGATTTGGCACCAGTTTCTTCGCTTCCAAACCGCTCACCTACAAGAGTACAGTATAGATATACACAAACCTTAGAAGATTAATACAAGCATATCCACCAGATAGACCATGACTTACCATTAGTTTCTCTGCCATGTGGGTCTGATATGGAGAAAGCATATCTCGTGTCACCTTCATCTGCTCAGGAGCCAACGGATAATCATTCATCATGTCATGCACACCATCTGGAATCCTTAAATCGCACTCCACCATGTATCCCGTCGAAGAGTCCATTGGATGATCGAGTACCGTCTCCAGAAGATCATCCGTCACTGCTTCAAAGCAGAAGTCCGACACGGGCAAGGGTTGAGACATGGCCCATCCATATAGATTGTTCGCATCTAAATATTGGATGAAGCTTGACGGCTCGTCTGGATTGTATTCCGATAGATATCTGTTGTTGGCGGTGGCGTGTCTAGCGGACACCATGCTTATGCCACCTCTTTTGCCATGCTCAATGAAGTTGAACATGTCAATGTCGGAAATGAGATGAAGGGACACCTTCGTCATTTTCAGCAGCGAATCCCAGGCAAATCCCGGTAAGGTGAGGTAATTAGCGGGATCCAATCCATAGGTTGCGTGAGCAGTTCTTCTGAAGTTTTCGAAAACGTCAGCCAACAGCAGCACATCAGTCTCCAGGTAGAGGTCGTGATAGTCTCCTAGATCTTCACAGTCAAACGCAGTCCATACTGTTTGTGCATAGGCATAGTCTTCATCACTGATACCCTAGGGAATAGAAAATGTACACCAAAAAGAAAAACAAATCAACGAACTTATTTTAGTAGTTCGCCCACACAATCAATTATTTAGTATGAAGCTGCAGGAAGCGTTCAAACACATTTTGGCTTATTTTAGTACTTCGAAGTAAGATGGTGAAAAAAGAAAGAGAGAAAGATCTACTATATCTGTCACACTACTCACCGTGTTCGTTAGCGTTGAGTGGAATGCATCCTTGGGTGGTAGACGCGTTTCTTCGAATTGGTCGTACGACCCCATATATTCACACGGGTAGACACCCTTTCGTGTCAACAGTTTGCGTTCATCCTCGTCTGGAAATCGTGCGGATAGAAGGGCGAATGCATCTGGTGGTGTAGCCGAAACCAACCGGTCTAGGGAGGTGTTCAAGAATGCCAGGCTGTCGATGAACTGGAACTGTCTCCATCCGAATGTGACATATTTTTCACTGTTGATGGGAATCACGTTGATAGCACCGAGACGCTGTCTGAGAAGAAGAAAGAAAAAGAGGAGACACAGTTTTAAGGTGCAGCTGTAAAGATGAATATCAATCATATAAACGTGAATATGAGTACCAACATAGTAATGATCTTCCTTCTTAGAAAAACATCATGATCCACGCACACACACACACACACACACACCACGCGTATGTAACGTACCCGTTCTTGTCCTTTCTTGTTCACATACGTAATCTCATCAATGGACGTTCTCCCAATGGCAGATATGATGTGATGAGAATCGTATCCCTTCAAGTTATGAAAGATCACAGGAATCTTAATCTTTAATGGCTCAATCCGCATGTTCAGGTTACAATGGTTGTGTGCTGCACCACGATAAGCACCGGTGATGTGACAGTGGTCACGTACACGATCGCTACCCAACGCTTCACCACAGATCCAACAGGAGACTACCGTTTCAAATTCACGTTGCTGACTTTCTGAAATGATCATTTGACCAGCATTACATGCTAGAAGCTCATCACGGATAGTCTCCTCCTCTTGCTCAAGTGACAGCAGAAAACAGAACATAGAATCTTCTCCACGGTAGAAGAAACGGTTCGTGACGACGCCATCAGATCGTACTACAATGTACGAACAGGAACAGGCTACATGCTTGTTCTTTTGGAATGTCGAATGACCGATTTTATTGTCAGCGGACAGAGGTTCTATGAAAGCCTCACAATCGGCATAGATCACCTGCATTTGAGAGAGAGAGAGAGAGAGAGAGAGAGCAAGAGAGAGAAGTAGGAATAGCAGCAGGGACAACACCGAGTAAAACAGCAGAAAAGACAGATAGAGAATTAGGAATAGCTGCAGAGACAACACCGAGTAAAACAGCAGAAAGGTGAACACTCAGAGTCAAGAAACATGTGCAGTAAAGAAAGAAAAAAAAAAAACAGACCACAGTGTGTTCACCTTGATTAAGTGTTCTACTTACAAATGGGGCTTGAAGCTGCTTGTTCACATTCCTGAACATCACTCTATCGCCAGCCTTTGGCATCTCCACCGTAGCTTCAGGATGTTCACTGCAGTACATCATATGATTATTCAATGCCTTCTCCGTGACGTGTGTTGAGAGACATCTGAAGCAGACAAAATGTGCTCGACGTGCTCCAGTAGCAACAAGACGACTGAATGACTTTATCCACACCCAGTGCTGCACCTCCACGTCATTGCGTTCGTCTTGGATGAGCAATACATTGATGGCGGTCTGCGGTTGCTGAGAAATTCTTAACGGATATATGACTTTCTCTTCATATCCGAAGACGTTGATGTAAAGACCGTCGTTCAGTCTTTCGATGACTGGTATGTCTTCCAGTTTTGCTGGAAACTCGATGCCGCTCACATCCACAGTATCCGCATGTTCTACGTACGACGATTGACGACATGGATGAGACTTGTCTGCCGAAAATTTAGCAGCCAGTATTGACCATCTAAAGTACGGATGACATAAGACATGGACAGGCGGCATACAGTTCAATCCATACACCGTATCACCACACTGAAACCCCACTGCTATACTTACAGTAAACACTTGTTGTCAGTGTTCTGCACGTTAACAATGGCCTTCTTCGACTTCAACTCCGGTGGCAAGGGGATGTACGAACTTCCTCCAAGTACACAGTAGCGTGACATTTCGATGTGTAAACAGGAAATCCGTTCAACTACCCAACCTGATCCATGACGAACGAAATCATCAAGACGAGCGTTGATCTGAGCTATCATCCTACTGAGAAGGTCCCTCAGCTCCATGGTGTTGAGCACCAGCGTTGTACTCGATCGGAAGAAGAATGTGTTGGAAACCATTTGTCCTGTAGCAGGATTCAGCTTCTGCATCACCACCTGAACTACCAAAGAACACTTGTACTGGCCCCATTGCTCAATATTCTCTTCAAGAAGCAGCTCCAGCGACGGTAGAACATGAGAGAAAAACTTTAGTACATCTGCAAACTCTTGATCAGGACAATAACTAAAGAATTGCAACAGATCAGATGATCTCACTACATCAAAAGACTGACGAGGTTTCTTCCGAAGGGGTTCCATCCTGAGCAGGGGTGGTGGCGGACAACCACACAATGGCTTGACAAGGTACCGAGGATCTATTTTTATAGGGTTTTCGTAATAGTTGAATTCGGAATAACTGGTTGTTTTTCAATTAACCAATCCACTCATCTCCCGCTGGAAACAATTAACCACTTACCGCACTTCCCGCTGAAAACATGTGACCAATTAGCGCACTTCCCGCTGAAATCACGTTCATCCTTTTATCGCGCATTGACCCATGTTCCACACTTCACAGTGAAATCAGTGCTGCAATGATGTACTGTGACGTCAATGCATGGATGCATGATCTGTGCATCTGAGGTCAAGATGAATCCGGTATTCCAGCAGCTAAAAGTTCGAGAAAGAATTGTTGTATGTCGAAAAGAATTATACGAGAGGAAAGCTAGAAAAATTCTACACCTCATGGACCTTTCGATTACGGACATAGATGGAAAACTAATTGACTTATGTCAATGGAAAGATTCCAAACCCGAACCAAAAAAGACACGGCATGGCGCGAGCAACGTTTTGGTTTTTGGCGCGCACCGTGTTCACCGTGTTCTCCAAGGTCGTCACCTTCCCGGAGGCGGGACCCGGCGGGACGGGACTTGGCGGGACCTATAAAACCTGATATAATTTCATTTTTGGTTCACAATTCATTTTTGAGTCCATTGGATGATCGAGTACCGTCTCCAGAATTTCTCTCTCTATCAGATCAAAGATGTCGGCCTGGTCAACCTCCGAACCATATGTAGAGAAGTTCTATTTATTTTCTTGTAGTAATAAAGATGAATTAACCGGAAAATGATCCGAAAAATTGAAATTACAAGTCAAAATACTGCAAAACTATGAGTTCTGATTAATATAAAATTGGAAAAAGTGAGATAACATTGACATTTGAAATAGTAATATTTTAGACATCGGAATGCAATATTATGATGTAGGGCAGGACATATTACCCACCCCTAAAAATCAAAATTAATGATACATGCAGAATTCCAAATCATGACACCATATTACCTTATTGTTTAGGGTAGAGCATAACACCCCAATACATATTTTCAATAATACCCCCTTTTTTTGAGGTAGGGGCACCCCCTGGCACATATTTTTATCCGCAAAAAAACCGGGCCAAAAATAATTTTCACCGCAAAAATGGGGTACTATTAGTACCCCATTTTTCAATAATACCCCATTTTTTGGGACCCGGGCGCCCCCTGGCCCAGAACCCGCTCGTTACTTCCTACTCATGACTTCTATTATTATTACAGGGTGCGACAGAGCTCTCGGCCATTGAAGAAAATGTTGAGTCACCTCCACCACCACACTGCGCTCTTTAGCCGACTAAACCCTCCTGCACACAACCATCACCATTGCGAGGACACTTCCGTAGACGATATTGATAAACTCCTTCAGACAGCTGTTTCGCTAATACATAGCTCATCAGTGAAGGAAGATATTGAATGATTAAAAATATAGACCAAACTGCTATTATATAGGGGGTTTCCACATACAAAACTGGCATAGCTGAGGTGATAACGCGGGAAAAGGAAAGTGTGAAGTACTGTTGACGCGCATTGGACATGCATGCAGCGTCGGATATTCGGCGCGGAAAATCAATCACTATTCAATGCAGAAATAACGTGCCAGAATCAGAGTACTATGTAGCTAGTAGTGAGAGTCTGTGTACTAGTATTGCAGTTGTCCGAGCGCCATGAAGGCCTGCGAACGCACCTCACGACCCGCCGACGTCGACAGCCACAGCAGCCCCTGGGGCATGACACTGTACTGCTCGCCCGTCGCGCCAAGACGCTTGGCAGTCACTAGGCTTCATGCCACCGATGTTGTCCGCAAGCTACCTTGTTATCTACCCATCACCCACTGCCGCTGACACGCTGGGAGGCCCCGCGGCATTCGCCCAGTATATCGTCGTCAGAGCTGTGTCGACGGTACAATAACGCTGGTAGAAACAAACAGTTGGTCGTATGGTATTGCGTCCTCCGGATTGTCCCTTGACTCGTCTTGTCCCTCTTCTTGCTCTGACGCTAATGACTTCTATTACAAGCAAAATGTAGAGCTACTGTTGACCGCTATTCACTGCTGTATTTATTTTATTACTTTGCATGGCCATGTTGAGGCAGTCTTCGCATCAATTTCCTTTACACAATGCGTGTACTACAATGTATTCAAAACTAGGGCTGAAACAATTATACCGATTACTCGCATATCGATCGTTAAGAGTGTAATCGATAATCGTTAGTGTTCAAAATGAGTGCTAACGATTTTTCATGCATGCATATCAGTGATAGCATTCTAGCCCTTGCAATTCATCCGATAGTGAATACGAGTGCAATCATGTACTTTCAAGAGCAATACAATTGATGTATGGCTTTGAAAGAGATTGGAAGAGAAGACTTTGTCTTATTGGTGCATTTCCTGGAGAGGTTGGAGATAAGAGCAGTTGCCAGATGGTGATGGCAAGATTCAGATATCAACAGTGCGGTGCCACAAATTTCGAACATAGCAAAGGTATCATGGAAGTTCTTCCTAAACTGGTGTTCGAGGTACATGGGTAGAGCCAACAAGAATCGATAAAACCAATAAATCGATCGTTAATGATATTGGTTGATCGTTAGGAGTTATTGAATTATCGTTTCAGCCCTATTCAAAACCAACGTCTGTGCCACGCACACATACGCAAACGTTTTAGGGATGAAACGAGTATATCGAATACTCGAGCGCTTGCTCGAAAATTCGAAAGGAGTGAGGACTCGCTTCGCGAAATACTCAAAGTATCTTATGCACAGTGTACTGTATGCTTGTACATCAAGCACGTCTGTTACTCTGACCAGTACTGATAACCCATGCAAGTGTGAAAGTATTACTTGTCCCTACTTACCAACAAAAGACAGTAGTTCAGACTATTTCCTGCACTAGGCTGCATGCAAGACTACATGTGTATCAGGTGTAATACGTTCAGTGTTACGAGAGTGTGTGCAGTACATTGTTTTATGTTGTCAGTAAAATACTCGTACTCGCTCGAATACTCGCTCGTTTTTTCAAAGAGTACTCAAGTCCTCAATTTTGGCACTCGTTTCACCCCTAGGCCAAACATGCATACACTGAATGCCTGTGCTCTGTGCACTCTGTGCTTGTGCAGGTCAAACCGACTGCCAGGTCCTGTCACCACCGGCACTGGGCTCAATGACCGTGAACGGCTTGATGTTCAGCAACACGACCACGTTTGTGTGCACATCTCCCTATGCCCTTATGGGCTCGGCCGTGCGTACTTGTGAAATCAACGGCCAGTGGAGCGGTGTGCAGCCAGCTTGCGTCCGTAAGTACATGTACCTATGCTCGACTGGCTTGTATTATGCATTCCCGTTCATCACACCGCTCATACTGTCAAATGCTGCCTCTTCTCATTCACAATGGCATGGGTCACAGTAGATAGGCCTGGTGCAGGTATTGCCAGTTCCTTGCTTGCTGCAGTACAGTATGACATATTAACTTAGCTGGTAAGCAGTGCATGTGTGCATGGCAAGTGTTAATTTTGTCCATTGCTTCCCAACCCATGTGTAGTGACGACTGCTGCTCTGAGTGCGGCCAGTGACGAGCTAGTCAAGGACTCCGTCTCAGAACGCATGACACAAACGTGTAAGCCTAATATTGCTGCATAATTGAGAGCAATTTCTCCTACTGCTGACTGCTGAAAATGTTGTGTCCTTCACAACTAGTCTCTTTGTTCTAAGAAGTCTGCCTCTTTCATCGATTCGTGTTTACCTAGCTGCGTTACGCTATTAGTAGCCTATTACCTGTTGTGCAATGGGGCTGGCCTAAAAGCTGCTCGCTCAACAGTTGTGTTGAATGGCATAGAGGGAGAGACGGCAAGCCGCCTTGGCATATTTGCGGATAGAGCTTTTATTAGAAAGGAAAAGGACATATGGATACGAGTTGAGAGTAACTGTCCACCACTGTAACTAGCTACTACAGTAAAAAAAATGCAACAACTAGGCACAAAACTGACAGAGTGCTGAGACATTCGACGACCTGACTCCTAGCTTCAACACATCTCCGTAGCGCTAACCAACAGCCTTCCAACTTGGAAGGTTCAAGGTTAAAAGGAGAGACCAAAGAGGGGAAGGTAAGCGCAACGAAAATGAGCACAAGCTAGTAGTTGAAGCTACAGTCCCACAAGAACAAGAAATGTTGATTGTTACTGGACGATGATGAAACCAGTATTACCTTTCCCTCTTTGGTCTCTCGTTAACACTACGGAGATGTGTTGAAGCCAGGAGTCGGGTCGTCAAATGTTTTAGTGCCTGGTTGTTGCACTTTCTGACTGTATTTAGTATATAGTGACAGTTACTCTACACTCATATCCATACGTCCTTTTCCTTTCTACATTAATTTTATTATTGCCATATTGGCTCAACATCCGAGTTTCAAAGAGCTTTTAGTGGACGACTTAATCCATTTTCGGCAATACTTACAACGATCCAATCAGTCATATTGTAGATCAGGCTATGCTGTGGGTAAGTATACTACTGGCCTTGTATGGCTTATTGTTTGCCAGCGAGTATTTAGCATCATCTACTAGTATTCACTCGTTTGACAGCCAAAGAGTATTTGTGTGGGAGGCTGGGAGTCTCGCACCTGACTTGGTCACGTTGCGCCTGAAGGTCACTAAGACGCGGCCATATACGGTGGAGCCGTCGCAGTTCCATCTACTGTCGACGAAACATGCCCGGTATTGGCTATTCCGGTACATGACAGCCCATGCCTGTAGCACCAAGCCTGTGTTCACGTTTGCCAAAGGGATCCACCTTACTCGGCCTTATTTAAATAAGATACTCTGTCACGCTCTCAACTGTTATCAGGTTAGCTCCCGCTCCATGCCCATTGTTGGAGCGACAGTCCTGGAATAAGTGAGGTGGTGATACGGCAAGCAGACGGTGGCAAAGTACGGCTTAAAAGCTCTACATCTGGCAAGTGGCCGGCATACCACCCCAATGGACATCGGAACAGTACACGTAGAGTAGCATCTCTACGTGACAGGGTATGAGCGCAAGTGAGTTCTTATGCTCTACTAATGTGCATTGATTCTGTGACTATAGTTCGTGTACAGATCTCATCACATGTGCCTTAGGTGGGATTTGCTATTGTCACTGTAAAATTCAGCCCTAACAAACAGTGTGATGGATGAATTTGACTCCAGGTATCTGCTTTTGGGAATGCCATGTATGCATGTCTGGCGTGCTGCTGCTTTAATGTTGTGGCAGCAGCATTCTGGTGCGATGGACTGTTCTTGTAACGGTGTACCTACCCATTTGCTGTTGCCGGATGCCGTGTTTTGTCAGTTGTGCCTGTTTGAAGGTGCCAGGCCAGCTTGTGTTGGTGCGTTCCCGTTAAGTTGCCAGGGCACCATATTTGTAACGGCGTTCCCGTTTTGCTGTTGTGGGGCTGTGTTTGTATCGGTGTGTTCCCGTTGAAGTTGACGGGGCACCACGTTAGTGGATTGTGCCTGTTTGAAGTTACCAGGCCAATCCTGTAACGCACACCCGTTTGCTGATAATTGGGGACATGTTTGTCCATTTTGCTCGAGATTCACATGGCTGCGCCAGTTGCCTTGTGCGGATTAGACTGTTATCTGGCACTAGTCTTGATCTGTTTTATTCAGATTCAGATCAGCTATTGTTCCTATACGAGAAAATCTGTGGGTGCACATCCAATTCATTTGCAG